CAGATTCTTTTCAGCTCGCAATTTCTTTAGATAGTCTCCATAGTTTTTTGCAAGATTATCATATTTTTTGCCCTTTCACAATGCAGTTTTTATGACTTTGACTTGTGCAAATTCTATATCCTTATGATCGATCATTTTTGTAATATTTCTACTATAACAATAGAAAAACTTTAATTAATAAAAATATATTCTTTAGAATTTTTTAGAATTTTTTTATCTGAAAAAAATATTTGTTATAAAACATCTATGTCTTGACACAAAGTTTAGCTTTTATAGCCCTTTCTTCTGCTTTCTCAGGAGATATTTCAGATGCTATCAGGCGTTTATATAGTCCAATTCACCAATGTCTATAAGGGAGAGTTCAAATCCCATCAAGTAAGATCTAATGCTTATTATCATATGGATTCAACCCTATCTTATTTACCCTCTTCAGATATATTTGATGATCATAACTGCGTAGACCATACATATCATGCCAGGTTAGTTTCTTGTTTCTAAGACATTCTAGGAACTTATCATGTAGAAGCTCCCTTTTGACTACGCATTTCTTTATACCCTTTGCCTTTTGAATACTATGCTTCTTTTTAGAGTCTTCAGAATCTGGATCATCAGAAGTTTTAGGATCATAGCCTGCTGGAAGGACTGAATACATTTTTGGCTTTAAGCATACTGATTCACCTATTGGATCTCCTTTTGTCTTATCCTTCATTAGAAACAAGTCTCCTGAATAATTAAGATCAAAAATGTCTGGTCTTTCTACTCAATCTTTATATATATCTTCAGTTTCTATTCACATTATGAGTGAGTCTGTATCTATATAAAGTAGATAGGCCTTATCTTCATAGTAAGGCTTTATGTAATCGTATCAAAAGTTAAACATCATAGTCTTGTTAGTGTCGAGAATTGCCTGCCCTATATAGATTGATTTGTTTAGAGTTACTGTACTTTTTAACATATAGACTGCTGTAATTCCCCCTTCGAATACTTTAAAGCCTACATACAATGGTGAACTTGCTAGGCGCCTGATTTTTTTATCCTCTTCTGTTTAGAGTAATTCTATTCTCATATGTTTATGAACATTTTTCATTTGTTTGCCAAAAACTGCATTGTTTTTTAATTTATAATACATGACACCAAACTCATTCCCATTAGCTTTAGCAATTTTACGTTTGCAAATATTTCCTCAATATAGTCTTTCATTCATAGAGACTGCTGAAACTTAAGAGCACTATGAATTTTTGTAACCTTCATCCTGAACTTCATATATGTCTGAAGAGCTCGATAGTGAACTACATAATTCTTCTTAGTAAAGAGGGTCTGGACTAGCTTCTCTCCAGACACATATTTTTATTTCCAACTTCTTTATCTTTCACTAATCTTTCGTTATATAGTTTAAGCCAGTTTTCTGGAATTATCTGTTTTTCAGGTACTAACAGATAATCTGTAAAGAAATCGTGCAAGTACACTGGGCTTCTAGATCAACTTCTAGTGTATAACTTATTTCTGCATCTAGCACTATGCTTTGGATATCTGATATTTTCTCTGATGCTACTTTACCTAAAATTTCTATAGGCATGTATTGGGTCATTGCACCTAAATATAAAGTATTCATATCTTCATACATGATCCAGAAATTCAGCTTGTTGGACTCATAGTCTGAACATTGTGGATTATTTGCTTTGGCGTATTGATGACTTGTCATTGGCATGCCTTTATGAATACCATTTTCTACCATTAGATATTCATCCATATTTGTCATGAGTTTGAATTCTGCCCTGCTACTTTTGTAAAGAGAATCATTAAACATTCCAGATGCTGAAACATAATGAGAGGGATCTAAGCTGTCATCTTTCAAGCACATGATAGTATAGTTCATGAAAATATCTGCAAGTAAAAGTACATCTGTCTTAAGATAAAAATCATGATATTCTTCAAAGTTCTTCATCTCGAATATTTGCCATATCTTTTGAGCATGTTCGTAATCCTCTTTATTAATATTTTGCTGACTAAGTAATGAATAGAAGTTCTTTCTAGATAGGAGATTTATTCTGTCAAATTTTTCCCATGCATTTGTCCAGTCATATGAAAAAATGCCCTTTTGAAAAAGAAGCTTAATCTTATCTATTGAATAGCCTTTCTCAGTAAAGTACCTAACAGTTAAGGGGAATTTTTTGAGCTTTCCTTCTAGACATTTTACTAATTTATCTAATCCCATTCCCATATGCTGAAAGCTATCAAGAAATCAGAGCTGGCCAACATCTATGACTTTGTACTTTCCTATATTCTCAGGGATGCAATTTAGCTTATCAGCTGTGAAATTGCTCATAACTTTCATAAGCAGATGAGAGTCATATCCTCGGAAATTATGACAGATAAGGGGCACTTTAGTTTCAAAAGAGCCTATTCGCAACTTTTTATTACAGGTATCATAGGCTGGATCTTGATAGTTTCCATTTATATGGTCATGATCTTTTACTTTTCAATTAAGTGCACTTAAAGCTTCTCGGTATCTTTTCTGTGCTTCTTTCTTTTCAGGATGTTCCTTTTTCATATATGATTTCCATTCTTTGATTTCTAATAAATTATGCTTTGCTTCTTCAAGTTTTTGTATTACATCTGGTGCTGGTTTTAAGAAAGGTCCCTTACAAATCCAGCATTCAGTCACTTCATTATACACCTTTAAGTTTCCTGATGCCATTATCATTTCAGCCAGTACAGATAAATCTTCTTGGATAGCTAGGAGTTCCTCTTTGATTTTGAGAACAAATCTTTCTAATGCATCAGATCCTCTATATAAATCATGACTTACAATTTCATAATTAAGTAAACTATTCATACAAATAATCATATAGCAATAACCACATGGCTTATGTATCTGTAGCCTTTTTGTATGGGTTAACTTTGTTTTCTCTTCTGGAGTCAGCTTTTCGGTTAGCATTTCAAGATTCCAGATTATTTGATATAGATTTGGTTGCATGCATTTATGATTATAGAAAGCTTTGACACTCCTATTCTTCACCAGCATTTGTAGTCATTGGGAGGCATTATTTAGACCCTTGCATTTTGGTAAATGTTCATTATATCTTATCTCTGAAGAGTATACATGAAGACAATATTGGCAGATGTATTTTCGTCCTTTATGCTTACTATAATTGTACACTAACTTGTGAAAATCTTTAATAATACAGTAGTGGCTTCTATCCTCTTCCGTAATTACTAAAATATTTACAGGCCTATATTCACCTCCCCTTCTCTCTGAAACATAACAAAAGTCTAGACATTTGTTTTGGTTATGCCACTCATAGACATATAGGCTGATATTAGGATTATTTTCCTCAAATTTGCGATATACTGATATCGAAACAGGTACTGGTACTGGAATGTCTTCTATATTGAGTTTCTCTATGAAACTTCCATATAGCCAATACGGATTTCTTTCTAGATGAATTTTACCAGATGCAAAGCTCCTAGAATATACCATCTGAAATACCAGTTATCCTCATTTTGAATATTAATAATTTCGTTATTACGTTTCGACAAAGTTTCTAGCAAAGGTATATAGGCAGTAGGACCAATTGGATTGAAATTAGCTATCTCTATACTAAATTCTTCTATATATTCTGGGTAAATATCAGACATTTGGTATATAGTTAGCTCTAATTATCACACTATTACTTGCTTATATAATTTTTTCTTTAATTAATTATTTTCTATTCTTTCACTTTTTAATCATAGAGTTGTCAGTATTTGCAGGCTTGCCAAGACGGTTTTAGGCTATTGCAAAACTGAAGTATTAATTATTTATTAATTAATCTTTTAGAATTTAATGATAAAAAATAGGATGATCAGTGAATATTCCTGCTCATATCTTTGCAATACTGGAAAGGCTTGTGGAAATGCTTGCATTTGTCCTGAAGGATGTCATTTCCATTGGAAAGCTAAAAAACGAGTACAATGCCCTAATTGTGATAAGCCAACTACTTCTGCTTGTAACTGATGCCCAAATCATGTCAGAGGCTATTATGTTATTCAGTTTTATGACAGACTTCGATCAGAAAGACTTCAATTGGAGATACAAAAAAGACTTCGATCAAAAACATGAGAAAAAACTTATGAAGAAATGATGCTTGCTCATAGAGATACGCTTGCAATTCTTAATATTACTCTCTGTAAGGAATGCCTCCTTTTGATAAAAATGGATGAGAGGGAATATTGTAATAGTTGCCGGCCAGAATAAATGGAAAATTATTTTAGCTAACTCTATACCTAAGTCTTAGCCAGAATTTTGGGTGCAATATCTGATGAGCATTTACTAAATTTTTATTAGACTTGCTTCTTATATTTTTTCATTAAACTTTTATAATTAATATGTTATTTGATGAACCAACTTATACAGAATCCGTTCTTAACTAAGGAAAAGTTAGGATAATTCCATAGATTTTTTTTCTGGATTTTTATAGTAGGGATATTAATTTTTCATTAGATTTTTATATAAAATATGCTAGTTAAGGAGCTTGCCTGTGCAAAACCAGTTCTTTATTCACAATTTTTATTAAACTTATTAATGGGAAACTTAGGACAATCATTTGACTTAAATTTTTTTATTAGACTTATACCGGGAGGAATTAAGACAAATTTTTGTTAAACTTAATAATTCGATATGCCATTTAATAAGCTAACACGCATAGATATAGAACATAGTATACATATTTTCATTAGACTTATGATGGAAGAATTGGGACAGTTAGATTTATTTTCGTTAGACTTATTTTTTCGTTAGACTTAATTAAGGGTAATTAGAGTTCTGAATAAGTCGAGTCGAGTCGAGTTTAAAGACTAACTCTATTTGACTCATTTTTTTCGAGTTGAGTCAAGTCAAATTTATTTTATAAAATCTTTTAATTTGATTTGATTCGAGATATAAATTTTAAACTCGACTCAATTTGACTCGATTCGATTTTAATTCGATTCGATTTTGAAAAAAAATAATAAAAAAAAATGAAAAGAATGATTTAGGTCATCATTCTTCTTAAACAATTTTTTTTATCGTTCAAGTTAAACGATTCCTTATCGTTTGACTTGAATGATTTTTTTATTGTTCAAGAATGATTTCTTATCGTTTGACTTGAACGATTTTTTTATTATTCAAGTCGAACGATTTCTTATCATTCTTCTTGAACGATTTTTTTATCATTCAAGTCAACTCAAGTCAACTCAAATCAAATCGAGTTTAAATCGAGTCGAGTTAAATATTTAACTTGACTCGAATTTGGCTTGACTTGCAAATCATCAAGTTAAAAAAACATAAACTCGATTTGATTTGAACTTGACTCAGCTTATCTGACTCGTGAGTTAACTCGACTCGTCTAAAACTCTAGGGGTAATAAGGACTATTAGACTTATTTTTGTTAGACTTAAGTAGTTAATATGCTAATTAATGAGCTAACTCACGCAGAATCAATTCCTGATATATTTATTTTTGTTAGACTTATTTTTTGATAGATTTATTTACAATATAGAAATTACAATTCTAGAAGTCTTAGAAGCTTTTCTAATATATAATAAAAAAATCAATATAGAAATTAACCTTCTAAGTGAACTAGAAGCTTTTCTAAATAATATAGAAATTAAGAATTTAGAGTTTTTAGAAGCTTTTCTAATATAATAAAATTGATATAGATTTTTTGAGTCTCGTAGTCACACAATGTCATTGTGAGGGATGGACATTCTATTCTTAAATCCCCATAATGACATTGTGTGCTAGTGATCCCATTCTTTCTTATATAATTAGCAATTATCATCAATTTTATCTAATTTATTATGGTACCAACATCAATTTCCTGATCCTTGCCAATGATATTTCCATTTAGCATCTTTGGGTGATTGAACATTAAATTTTTGGTTTAAACTCTCAAAGTATTGGAATAAATATTTCTGTCTATCTACCAAAATTTGTTTTAGATTACTTTTAGCTAAAGGAATAGAATCATTATAATCTCCTAATATCATATAGTATTGTTAGGTTACTAATTCTTAATCTTCGTATTCTTCATCAGAAGAATTCTTGACAATGTCAATAGGTTACTGAAAATGATCGAACTGTGATTTTTTTCAACAGGTTATAGGTATCTGGTATTCTTTATTATTCCAGCTGAATGTAAATTTTTGACAGTCCTAATAAAGTTGTCCTCAACATTTGATAAGCCAATCATTTCCTGCTACTATATAATAATTGGTTGATTCTGTGATATTGACATTAATAAGGACTTTTATGCCATTTATTTGCAAAGGAATATTAGTGACTCGTTCTAAGGGTCGTGATTATTCTTCTTGTATATTAATCATTGTGATAGTAAAAGCTGATTTGATTTTTCGTCCTAATTGTTGTAGAAAGGATTTAGACATTACACTTTCAGCTGATTCTGAATCTAAAATTAAATATATTAGTTTATTGTCCATGGTAGCATTACAATAAACTGCTTCTACAGCTCTTGGTAATTCTGAGGGGTTTATATTTTTATTAGTACGCTCACCCTCCTGAGGTACTGTCAATAGTTTAAAGACTAGGACAAAAGGTAAACAGACTTTGAATGTTTGCTAGCGGCGGGTTTGGAAGAGAGAAGG